GAGATGTTCAAATCCCATAAGTGTTCTTTGTACGAAATTATTGTCTGAAAACAAAAGAGGCAATTCAGCACCATTTTATAATATAGCTCTTTGAAAAGGTACACTCCAGTTAGTCTCATAGACAAAAATTCATGGAGACAAATTAACATAGTTCAGCACTTAGGGAAATTCAGACAAAAGAATAATTTGAGATCCCACATAGACAAAGAATGGGTAGGGACCACCATGCCAAGAGACAAAAATATTACTTTTCTACTCTGCGAAAATAGACAAGGAGGAAGACTTGACATGTTTAGGAACAAAAGGAAGAATGAAAACAATATTGAGGAAGGCAATAGAAAGTTCTGTTCAGGAGACAAGAAAAACTGCAAAGCACATTTTATAATAAAATTATAAAGATCAGATTGACTTCTCAGACTCAAGGATCTGTTTTAAAAACTGCTGAGTCTTGACTTAAATGGAAATTTAAGAGGAGTTCCTTTCAAAGACTATCAAAGGTGAAGCTTATGAGCTAAAGGTCAACACATACAGTGCTTTCTCTCTTTTTGTCAACCACACACCTGAAGATGTGTGCAGACTAAAGCAGCAGTATTGGTATATATTTAACTAAGTAAAAGGCAAATGCTGAATGGTTTAACCTTGGTACATTCAAACAATGTCAAGGTAAGAGCTCAGTGATAATTGCAATAATTTGTTGTTTCCCAAGAAATTGAAGTTAACTGGAAAGCCAATGAGTCAAAAAGAACACTTTAAAGGGGGGCTTGAAGACACTGCTGCATTATCTCAGCTCATACAGAATCTTGTTTTTAGCCATCTCACTGTTTCTCCAATAGCATTCGTASACAGATGGACTTCTTCACACTTTCTTTTTTGCCATAAAAACATCTTCCTTTACAGGCCTACTGACCCCTTGGGGAAAAGTTCTGTGATGCAAATATGTTTTAGAACTGCTCAGTGAACAGGCCACACAACTGGCACTGATTGTGACACAGGGTTCTGGGATCATGCAAACAGGAAAGTTTGTGTGGAGGACCCACCTAGCAAACAGAGCATTTTCCAGTGCACTTCAGTTATGGGAAACAGTTTGAAGCACATGCTACAGAGATCTGATTTTCAGAGACCAGGCAAGCACCAAATGGTGCCTCAGGAGTATGTCCTTTAGCCCCTGAGGTTGGCATCAGTGCTGAAGACCAATCAAGATGACAAAATCCAGCCGAAAAGCACTCTTCTTCACTGACCTAAGCAGCATCTTACTTGTCAGGTGCTTGAGGGAAGCCCTGCTGCTATTTGGCTTTTGCACCCTGAGATCCTTTAGCCAGGAAGTATCCATTGCTGTGACTGCACACATATCACAAAAGGACGTGCACAGCAATAATTAAATGATTGTACATGTGCCTCGTGGGCTGCTAAYGAACAGGTGTTTTTGTGTGCTGGAACCTCTGCTGGGGCTCAAACGCCACCTAGAGCAGTRTGGATCATCAGCCCTGAGTAGCTGGGAACAATCAGCTCTTAAAGGAACATTCCAAATACAGCCTGAATGCCCGACAGAAACCGGGCTTGCTAAGGGAGCTTCTTGGTATGACTGAGATTGTTGTGGCTGTGTCAGGCTGCAGAAGGCAGACCAGTCACGTTCAGCTGCTCGCAGCACATAGTGACCTGATTTCTCTGATAACGTGTTCAGAGCCTGACCAGATGGCATTGTGAGTGTAAGGTGCTTATCCTATAGGAAATCTGTCCTTAACTTCCTCGTGGAGCATCAGCCTGAAAATGTGGGACGAAATCCCTCACACTTGAAGTTATTCACAGTCAGTACATCAGAAAAGCACACACAAAGGTTGAATGCCTACTTGAACAAATGCCTATCCAGATACTGAACTTTTCCAGCAGGGACCCCAGTACTGAGACATTGAAAACAGAAGTAACTTTTGGGAATTCGTTCTGTGCCGATGGCCCTGCTCTAAGATCAGAAGACAAAGCATGGTGGAACAGTTATGTGTTCAAAACCAAKGCAGATTATCCAAAGGCTGCTGCAAGTCCTATAWTACYGAAGGCTACTGGGAACCACARGCAGACATTCATTGCAACCAGCASCCTTGCACCTGCCATTTAATGTAGYACTAGGGAGCTCCCTTTGCTTCCCAACAGTAATTAAAAAATAAGTCCTARAGAGCAATTAGCTATGGTGAAGATAACTGMTCACATCTGATAACAACTGCCTGATCTGAGGCAAAAGAAGTATAAGAGGGTTGTCCCCTAACCTTCAGCCTACAAGAGTGGAATAAAGACAAGCTTTGGGTAAATTCTTCTCAGAATATCAGTAAAAAGTGCATATGCATGTGACCTGCTGGTACCATCTGACAATATTCCTGAGGGAGTAGTTAGCAATAACCACAGACAAAACAGTGAGGCAACAGGTCCTCAGACTTGATCCAACGACTACTGAAGCCACCATGAGTCTTCTATTCAGTTTTGGCAAGAGTTAGCTGTGTCTCTACACAGGAAGTATTTATCCTTCTGCTTTTATATTTCAGCTGAGTTTATYATTTGAGATGATGCTGTTCATGGAGGATTTAGTTTTCCTCAGCAAATGGAATCACAAGAAGTTGCTCCCATAGTCCACACTTCGGATAAACAGAATTTCTCCAGAGCCAAAATCCTGAATTCCTAGTGGATCCCTGGGCCCTTGCACACAGTCTAGAGGGCTGAATAGCCAACCTCAAGAACCTCCATTACATGTTTTGGGATAATATTTTATACAAAGAATACATATTTTTATTTCTTCTACCACCCACTCAGAAAAAAGAGATYCCAAAACTTGCCTCTACACCAAAACTCCCTGCCAGCAGGGATCATTGCTCCTGTGCTCCTGCCAATTCACTGTCATAGTGCCAAAGAGAGACTGATTTGGTGTTAGCTGGTGGTATTAAGCTGTAAACAAAGTGAGGAGCCACCTGGCTCACTCAATTGACAAGGTCAGACCAGGATGCAACATCTGTTCTGTCAGGCATAGAGACACTTCAGAAACATCTTTATTGYAATTTAAGAGCAGTGCAATTTTCTTGCTCGACAGCCGAATGCACACAAAAACACAAGATACAAAAAATGCATTTGTCAGCTTGGACAAGATGAATTTACTGCTTTATATAAGCATACAGCTTGTGTATTTTGAGAAGCCACTGAAAAAATACGTTTCTCCTCTGGTAATGCCAAACAAATAGATRTAGAAGTGAAAGGAAAACAAAAGGAAGAACAGATGCCTGTAAGTGWAACCATGATCAGATGGTAGCTCTGTTCTACACATGGGGAAATGGCCAGGGACATAAGAGTCAAATTCTGTTGAGGAATTACTTTCAAGAGGACACAAAACATTCAGATAATTCTGTATGAAGCAAAAAAGCATTTGGGCAGCAATCACMATCCATGCTGAAATAATTTGGAGCTTCCTGCTTTAGGCTGCTCAGCCAAGACTAGGACCTCACACAAATGGCCTCTTTAATTTGAATAGMCCCTAACCAGGGATGGAGGCCAGTCCGGGAAACTTAGTAAGTACAAATACTCAAGTGCATTAAATTGTTTGGAACTCTCCAGATATCCAGAGTATTTCTATAATAATTTATTAATGGTCTCTGGGGCTTATGGTTTTGTTACCAGAGGGAACATTTTGCCTGAAGGAGAGTTGGAGAGTTTAGAGCGTGCTGCTTAGAGGGTGTAAGCCAGAGAGGTCTTTTACAGCATTTTTCAGATATAAAAGAAAAGGGCTTACACTCACGAGAGAACATAATCTTCCAGCCTTTTAGTGATTTTATACAAAGTTGTAAACACATGGCCATATTTTACCGAGTAAAACCCTGTTGCAAGCACATTTAATACAAAAAATGCTTTCTACATTTACTTGCAATTTATATTCTACAGATTTGTWTTGTGAGCTCCACAAGACAATAGAAATAAAATATGTTGGTCCCATGAACAGCAACAGGACAATGAGACACAGTTCCTTCACCAGCCTCCTGATTCAGAGGTCTTGCAAGGAGCACTGGCAGATCCTTTATACTTGATTTAAAAGTGCTATGCATGTTCAGGTCTTCAAAAATAGGAAGAAGAAGAAGAACCAGATATAGGCTCAATTGCTCAGTACAATAGAAACATTCCAAGTAAAAGCAGCAAYACAAGTAAATGCCCATAAAGTTGACCTTTTGCAATTGCATTTGCCTGGCTGTGTTACAACAGACCTCAGACTGTTCCCATTCTGCTCCCCCAAATTGTGAAGGGCACTGAGACCATTTCTATCATGCTGACAATTATGTTAAGAAAAAGAGTAGTACTATGAATGCTGAGGAAAAAATTACTATTTGCAATTTGCCCAGCAGCAGCAGAGGTTTATATTCATCCTCATATTCACTAGAAGGAAAACTAAATTTATGAACAACCAAGTAATTCAGTTTTAAGGACTCTCCCGCAGGCAGAGAAAGAGCAGCAATGCAGAGCACAGTTAGGAAAGGACAGAAGATACATGGGTGAAGTACCAGCAGGTGCTTCAGTTTCTCTGTTATTCAGCCCTTTGGTATTATTCTTAGCATTTATTTCATGCTCCAGTAAGCTTTGTTTATTGAGGTGATCACACAACTCCGGTGTCTTGGAAGAACAGCTGCCTTCTGGCTTCAGAGGAACAGATGAAATCTGATTAGGTTTAATATCTTGTCAGTATACTCTTTAATAACACCTGGTGACACTCTGAAGGAAGTTAAAAACCAGGCCACTTGGATTTTAAAGTCAGATTCAGCCTCCTCAGACAACATATTGAAAAGCTTGCTTGAATCTGGCCCATCACAACAACCTGCTTATCTAGTTTCTCAGCSCCTTCTAAATGATGAGATTTTTGTCATTTGTTGAAATCTACTTCCAAGTGGATTGCAAGCACCAAGAACAAAGGCTGCAGGAAAAATGATCACACACCTAGCTACAAACAAACACCTTTGTTAATATAAAAWAAWYMWTWAAAAAAAAAGATTAAATATGTATGTATACTGATAACCAGAAACAATAGCATCATCCCCTTTACACCTTTTAGGCAATCTAGAAATGCACACCAACACAATTCAGCCACCTCTTCAACCAGCTCTCCTCTCACTGAAGGAGCTAAATTCCTGTTTGGTGCAGAGGAATATTCAACTGACACGAAGTCTGGTGGCAGCCAGACAACTTTACCTACTCTTTCTGCCAGGTTAATACCAACAAAGGTGCCTGAGTGAAGGAATGAATCAACAGTACTGAAGTCTTTCCCCAAACAAAAAGCAATATACACTCCTGTSCAATCTGTGAAAAGAGGGCCACCAAACAAATGAAGCACTTGAGTTGTGCGTGTAGGCAGATGCTTTCCACCCTCTTCTCAGTCTGCTGTCTTCTATTTTAACTATGGAAGGGGTCCAGAAAACGGAGGGGCTTGCTGACGACAAGGCCKGCAGTGTTTCCTTGTTTCCATTGGAATCCTTTTGAAATTTACACCTGCAAAACAAATATGGAAAAGAGAGAACATGGAGAGATTTGTTTAATTGGGAGAGTGGAGAATGGCACAAAACTTTAATACCTGAAGTTCAGCCATGTTTTTTGGGCAGGTTTAGATTAGCAGTGATCTGAAAATAAAAAGGTATGTAATGGCAATTTTTTTCTTTTCATTAGGATGCTGGAGGTCACGGATATACTCAACAACCTATTTTCCCTTTAGTGCAGGCACACAATCACTGAAAGTTTGCTGCTGATGGAAGTTTCCACAGTCAGGTAAAGGTCTTCATAGACACAGGATAGCACTACTATCTCTCCAGAGCTTGAATTCTGCAATTGATGTATTAAACACTATTTTCCCCATACTATCATCACATTCTCCCTGTTTCCTGGACAGAAGCCACAGCCTAACATTGGCTTGAAATATTTGCTTTCTGGGACAGAAATTGCTTCTGGTGGAATGATTACATTTTAGAAAATCAGTGGTTTTGTTTCAAAAGAAGTGGCTGGCATGGTTCATTACCTCTCTCCTTAAGCCACACTGAGTTGGCCTCCAAGTGGCTTTGCAGCTTCCCCATGGCACACACCAGCACCAAGAACAGTTAAGGGCAATGCTAAAAAACAGTCCCTATGCTTCGCCTGCACACTGTAAAGCAAGGAACATCCCTCGAAAAAAGTCAGTACAAGTGACCCAGAAATCTCATGGCAACAACACAAAACAAAACCAACACTGTACAACTCCAATCCAGAACTGCACAGAGGAGTTCTGTTTTGGGCAGTTGCTGCATTAGGCCCAAGTTTTAACAACTGCCTCTCAGCAAGAGAGAAACCAATYCAGATCAAGCATTTTGATACAAGCAGATCTGAGGAAGTCATTTGCAGAATAGAAGTGCACCCTATATGGAAGCTAATAAACAACAATCCTTGACCTAAAAAACATTTGGCTGCAGGTAAGGACAGGAGATGGTTACAGTAAGCATATTGGAATGCTCTGAGAACTAGGGCAGAGCCTAACAGGACACGCAAAGATCATAAAGTATTACTGTGCTTACAACAGAGCTGCATTTCAGATTCCCTTTGTAGGAAAACTCTGTGGTGAATTTACAGGTTTTAATGGAGTGCTTCCTTTGTACTCCTTTCTCCCCCTCAGCGTAGTATTTTCCATAGCTCCGTGAGACCAGCATTACTGTGCTTCATCCATGGGAAACAGCTTTCAAAKGAACGTTCTCTTTGCAAGCACTATTATCAGACAGTTTTCATGCCTGTTGCATGTAAAGAAGCCTAAAATGCCCCCTTATTTTGTCAGCCAGCAGAAGGTACTCAGATTGAAAATTAACAGCTGTGCTCATCACACAAAGCCTCAGTAATGTGGAAAGGGTGCAAGTTCAGGCAGGCAGCAGCACTTGTGACCCAGGAGTGACAGAAGCCACCTCTGTGCCTCTGGCACTGCACTCCCCAGGCCTTGTGGGTGGGCTGGCAAACCATTGCTCAGGTCCTCAGTGCTACTACACCTCTGWTAAAATGAGGAACCCCAGGCAGCTACAAACCCCTGACCCACARTCATTCTGCATTTTGTTCACTGCTCCTGGTACCAATGGGACTCTGCCCATAAAACAGAGCCCATGATTCAGCACTGGGAGCCTGGACAGGAAGGAAAGGCTCCAGTTAAAGGAAAACTAGAATAACCAAGGATTTCCACTTAAGTTATCTAAATGCAAAAAGTAATAAAGCATTTAAGATATTTTATCAKCTAGAATGAATTTGCTTGGAACTTCAAATTAGTCATTTTATGATTAAAAGATTAGAAATAAGAAACAGACTATTTTAGATCATTTTTTTATCTTTAGAGTCTAACAAAAGTTATCAGCCAGACATTTTATTGAATTTAGAAACATTAAGATTTAAGATGCTAAGATTCTAAAGAGCATACTAATCCTTTTATCCTAGACTTGTTCATGGTTTAGCTTTTTTTTTTTTTTCACTGGGGTCTACTGAAACCAGGGATATTATGGACTTTGACTTGTGCAGTCTTTAGACACATAYTTAGGGCAAATTCAATCTCAGTTAATTCTTGTCCCTGATAGAGCTGTGGTTTCAAAAAGTGGATTTTTGGGAACTTACAGAATCACACTTCTATTGATCTCTCAAAGCATGAAGATGAATGCAGCCACAGACTGGTGGTGATGGCATACAACAAGGCAAAGCCAGGATAATATTTCACTTTTGCAACTCTTTCTTACCAATAAGGAWCTACTCACTGATACTCCTTTAATCAAACTAGATCATATTTCTCTTGATTGTTTTATACTGTGGGCATAGATTCTGTTCTAATCTTACTTCTTAACAATCCAAATACTCAGTAAATTTCCTGAGAAAGGAGAACAATTTCTCAGTGATACAATGAAAATAGTATTTACCTATATGAAAAATTCTATGAAGTTTGAAGATGGAAAAATCTCAAAGTGCTGTGATTTATCTCTAAAGATTACCTAATTCATGTAATGAAACTGTAAAYCTTTTTACCTTTATGAATTTTTTTCTTCTGATTGGGTCCCTTTGAGCAGCAGACTCTTCTAACCTTCTGGCCTACRGGTGAAAAATAATACATTATCAGTGAAGGCAGATAATGCAAGTAATTATTCATATACATGAAATGTGTTAGAGTCCACAGACATTGTGATTACTGTATTTACCACTGACATTCTTGTATGGAGAGATCTGTAAAACAAAGGATTATCATGACAGAGATTTAAATCGATTTAAATAGCTTTGTCTCTAGTGTGGAACAGGAAGAACTCTTTTTCATCATTACTCATAAATACACCAGATACGTYGTGAAGATTTTTTTATCCTTTGAAATGCCACATTGGCAGGCAATACAATTATAGTTACACCACTTAATGAAAATATTAAAAAAATTACCAAGAGGAAAAAAACAGCCTCTCTGTGTCCAGATGCAMAGGAGTGTGGAAGAAATTGCTTTGGATATGCAGAGTCACTTAATTATTCTCTCCCTACCACCACTAAATAAGTGAGCTGTTGATTGYAGTTGACATAGTATGTGCTGGACACAATAAAGGGAAAAGAAAGGTTGACTCTGGAAATGAGGTGTAGAAGAAAGGACAGAGGTAGAGGATTTCTCATCTACCTCAAAATCTAAAACATGGCCAATGTTTCTGGAAATCCCTGAGGCACAGTTTACAGCCAAAGCTAGTGATGGTGGCTGAGCTGTCCTTGTCACTATAATTTAGTGTGATGTAACAGGTTTAACATGCAAAGTACACTTATTTTGCACACCCAGACACTTTTACTTTCATATCAGTGCTTACAGATAAGGAACAGTGTCCGTTGCATGCTTCCTCCTCACCTTCTGACTCACTGAAGAACCATGCACATAAAAAAGGGAGTGCTATTAGGGGATCTTGTGGGTATTCATTTGTGTTACTGAGATATTGCCATCTCCTGTCCTTCCTGGACAGGCTTCCGTTATGCTCCTGAAGACACATCTAGAAATTCTCCAGCTCCCTTTGCACTGTTCCTCAGGGGTCACRGAAAAAGCTGAATAAAAAGAAGTGGAAAAGGCAAAAGGAGCAGAAGGACTTCAGGTGCCACTGCTCTGTCAAATAGCTCTAGCATTCAGAACAGAATCCAGTAAATAAGAGAACTTGGAAGCTGACTAAACCAATTAGAAAGACAGCTTCCATATGTTTCTCCATGCTCATTTTACACAGAAAGCGATTCTTTCAAGGTTTCTAGAAAGTAGCAAGCATGGCAAGTCTGCTGTTCCTGACCTTTGAACATTTAGCTTATCTGTTTTTCCTTATCWCACATTTATTCTCTATAAAATACACACTGCAAAAAATCATGGTAAGTCTCTGAGATTTACAATACCGAACTTCAAATCTGCACAGGTAACTCTAGATTGCACCTCTCAATTTAAAAGCTGTACTGAACTGCCCTCCTGTAGAATGACACCTACAGAGATGTGGCTATTGACAAATGGAAAATTCTCAGCTCCTAAGATTTCAACTGCTCTGTGAATTTGGAATACTGCAAAATGSTAACCAAGTGCCTCAAGGTAATACAATTGAAGTGTGGAACATTAGTGGTAAAAACCCAACCAAAAAAAAAAACAAAGGAAAAAAAGGTGTAGACTGATTGAAGGTCAGAAGAGTTACTCTCACCTGTTTCACTGTTCTATAAAGAACTTCTCATATTTCTGTTGACTGTTTCATGTTTCCCTTGTTCCCTTGTTTCATAAGGGAAGAAACTTTTTCCATTAAAATATTTTCCACCATTGAGAAAATGAAAATATTCTTACATTAGTAGATAGGAAGTATTTTCAGAAGAGCAGGTTTCAGAACAGATTAAAGTAAAGTTAATCATGCTGTACTACAGGCAAGAGGCAATAACAGAGGAAACACTACTGTACAAACCAAAGCACTGATTTGCTACCACATTCTGCAGTCTAAGTCCTTTTCTAAGTTCAATCCTCCTTTTCAGTTGTCAAGCTCTGTTTGTTTCCTTTTATGAAAATCAATGTATGCATACCAACATGCGTTTTATAACAAAAAAGGAACGAACAGGAAAAGAGAAAGCTGTGTTAGAAGACTGTACCTTCTGCAGTGAAGACACTGAGGAACAAAAGACAGACGAACAAAAAACCACAAAGMGTCAGGAGCTTCATCCTTCCAGCCAGTCACGAGATGTTTCCAAGGAGGCTGAAGGAGTGTCCTGATCTCCTCCAGCACAACCTCACCTTTTTATAAGATAGAGCCGAAGGAATGTTACGTTCATCAGAATGGGTGGAGATTTGGCCTTTGTATTGCACTTCAACAGATGAAAAGTAATAGCACTTTCTATTTCAAGAAGCAATTTACTCAGAATCAGGCAGCTTAGAGAGTGTCCTACCAGTTATACAGGAGCAGGTGGTTTGGAGTATTAAAGTACTCAGGGATGCTCCAATGCCGAGTCCTTGTCCTGAGCAGCCTCTTCAGGGGACCTGGTGTGCTCCTCTGCATGCTTGGAAAGGCAGAGAGCACAGCTGAACTCAATCTGGACAATGATGGGGCCTGAAAAGGCAAACCAAACCCAGGCTGTTTTAATCAACGCAATTGCCAGTGCATGATTAACATAATCAACAAGACAGCTGGTTAAACAGCAGTTTTCTGAGTTTATTATTTACTTCTCGGTATCTATTATATCTGAATAATTAAGYCATGGAGATTCCAGCTAACAGTTAAGATGTCATCAGATTCAACATAGTATCAAGGTTCACAGACTTACTTTAAAAAAAAAAACCTTCAAGGAAGAATAAACTGCAGAGCTGAGTCTCCTCAAAAAGGCAAAATGTTCAGATTTGTCAGAATCCAATTCTCACAGCTTCTTCTGATAATATTTGGGTCTGTAATAGCAGAATATGTTACAAGCTATTATAGCCTTAAAAGGTAGGAGCAGTATCTGCAAGCCACCCAGACTTGGAATGACAGGATAGAAGGCTACATAGGCACTCTGGTGCACATATATTGCCCCCAGCCCCAATTTCAAACGTTTACTATTTCAGGTTTGGGATTTGGCTTGTTTCTTGCACTGCTTCAGCAGTCTTCCAAACTGGGTCACCCCTTTATCTACCAGACTTAACCCCAAAAGCTTACTTCTGCACTCCTATCTAGCAATATCCATATATGGTGAAGATTGCTAATACCTGACAGCCTTTTTTGTTTGTCAAGGCTGGCATTAGCAAGGTTCAAGAATCAAATCACTAACAAACTTGCTACAGATAGGATTATCTTCAAAGTGCTTTATGAAAGCCCTGCCTCACCACTGGCACACCTCAGCTGTTCAGCCTGTAGTAAGCCTGTTGTAGTAAGTTCACCTCCCTGCTGAGCATCTCAGAATGGACTTTTACTGCTCAGTTGGTGCAGAGCAAAATGAATGACAACAGAGCAGCAAGGTTGTTTCTATGATCTCAGGCTTGTTTTGAATATTGAAACATGGTGCGCTCATCTTGTACTTCTAAAGTAATTTTTTTTGCTGGTTAACACCGAATCAAATCACATAAATCCCAACATACACTGAGCATGAAAACTGGARCTGGTCAGCTCCAGCTACTCACAAAGGTTTGCAGATCTGAAATGTCAATAAGGCACATGAAAGGGTTGGTAAGAGAGTAATTTTTTCTACAACATTCAACCAGGCAGTCTGAATGGTAGCACTGAAGCAAGTATCTCACTTGGTGACTACAGTATTTTATCTCCTTTACACTTCCTGATAAAGTTCTAGGCAAGCTSCTGTACCAAGGGGAGTGAGTGAACAGCTGTGTGGGGCTTAGTGGCCAGCTGGGATTAAACGACAACAATGCCCAAATAATTTTTCTTATCTTTTTAACCTTAACTAGCAGCAYCACCTTTTCTATCTTTGTGACTGATAAGAAATAAAAAATGAATACAGAAGAAAAAAGTAACCAGGTAAGATGGGAGACGATTTGCGTAACAGAACATCAGATGATGGCTACTGACATTTCTAATTATGCTCATTTAAACAAAAAAGGGCTGGTACATTAAATGTACCACAGGTGCTGCCAACACCTACCTCAAAACCCCCCATGTTTCTTCTGAAGTATTTACTACTTAATATTGGCAATGAAAGTACTTACAAAGATTTATTTTTCTAAACACACATAACTACACTGTAACTTTACCAGTCACCCCAAGCAAGAAAACAGCATGTGCTAACTGAATGCCCCACTTGTTTTCTGCGTGGAAGAGGCAGGCTGCTACTTGATCTTGTTACAACAATCTAAGCCTTCCAGCTACTATGATGGAAAATGGGGATAACCAGTGCAGTCATCACTGCACACCCAAAAGCCCCAGAGAGGGGTTTGATAGGAACAGGATCAGGTGCCCATTTTTTAAAGGACAGCATTGCTTAAGAGTTTGTGCTGGCTTACTGTGAAGCTGCTCTTGGAGTGCAAACAGAAAACCTGAAAACTTTCTTGAACAAAAATACTGTATGGATTTGTCAATAGAAATTATTGGGGTGATGATATTGTAAACAATGTATTTATTTTCACCAGCTGAGAGGCCTAATACCAACCTTGAGAGATTCTTTTGAATAGGTATTTTTGGGATCCATGCAGGATGTCTTGCCTAGCAGTTTTGAGAGCAAACATAGCTGAGGAAGAGTTTTTTTCTCCTAAAAGGAATAGTTTCAGAAGAAATTTAGGTGTTTTATATCTTAAATTTCAGACTAGAAAAGCTGATCAATGCTGTGGTTAGACTCTAATTCTTAATGCCCTGTTTCATATGCTTCTATAAATGCTAATGCTACAGGAAATATTAAGCAAATTGAAAATGGAAGACAATAAGCAAAGATGTAGCATAATCTTTAGAATATAAAAGCCATTACCACATAAGATTGCTGAACATACAAAATAGTAAAACAGAACTGTGTCAAGGGAGTGGCTAGAGACAGGAGATGGAATAAAAACACAGATTACTAAATAACCTGCCAACCTGTGCCCTTAGAGTCTGTCAGCTGGAAGTCTGAGGCATCTGTATGATAGTCTTCTTTAAAACATTAATTTTATGAAAGGAGCAGCAGCTGTTGTAGATCTTTCCAGCTGAAAAAGGCTGGGGAAGAAATTGAGTGCAGAGRTATTTCTGCATCATCCAGGGAAATAAGGGATGTATCCTGAGATTTGCATTATGTTTGCATTAATACCTGGTGTTCAAAAGCTACAAAGGACGTCTCTCAAAATCCTAAAGAAAACAGTTWGATTTCTTAATGTTAAATTAAGGCATGATCCAGAGTCTCCTTTTGTACTTGTCAAAAATAGACTAGATAAATTCCTTAATTTGCAGTCTTCATAGAGTCATTATTTCTGGAGGTAGTATGGTAATATAAGATTCATTATAACTTTTTAAAGGTCATGCCATTCTAAGAAGAATCTGCATTTTGTATATGAAAATTTCTCCTAACCAGGTTGAAGCAGCTGTTTGTGACATAAGGAGAATAATAYGGTTGGTGCAAACAGTCTTGTTAAATTTAAAGCTAAATGAAACTAACTTTAGAGCTGTGAGAAGGCAGGAAACATTAAGAACTTTCAGGATACAAAGTTAATTTAATTTAATGTAGACCAGTTATGATGAACCAATGTAGTTATTTGGGAGCACGTGCTGGCCTGTTTTTGAAGAAGGAAATGTAGTGTAGAGGCTGTACTCACTATGTCACTATGTGACAGGCACTGATGACATCTAGGATATAGTAACAAGGATCAGAATGAAGAGCAAGACTAAGGTTATAGTTTCTCCTAGCAGTTTATGATGAGTGATATAATCACTTTGATCATTATCCTGGAGCAGGGTTTAAAGCATCTTTGACACAGCTTTTTCAACAAGTGTCCTGCCACTCCTCAGACTGTGCCTGCAAGTAAAGCCTCTGCAGAGGTCTCAGCRGGTGTGTCTGAATCTTATGTGTGCTGTTCAGGGTGTCTAAGCTCTGTGTGTTCACTCCATTCTCTTCACAAGACACTGTCCTACACAGTTCTATTAAAGTGGAACTTGCAGTTCTTTTTATTTTGCTTGGTTTTTCTTCCTGCWGGAAGTGGGGTAAAGGTGGAAAAACACTGCTTTCCCTTTACTCCTGTTTACTGAACATGTTCTCTTGCTAGTTTTTCAAAGCCTCAGATGTGATAAAGTTTAGCTGGTTGCCAAAGGCTCCTAAACAGYGTAATGAAATGAGGCAAGGGTTCAGGCCAAAAACTACGCTGGGTGCAGACCGTGATGGAAACGCTTCTTTCTTGTGGTAGCCCAGTCTATCTGGTCTTCTGTACAAAGTAACTACCTGGTTGCCCAATGCTTAGTTCCAGAAAACTTAGTAAGAGGAAGTTGTACAATGACAGATGTCTGGGCAGGCATCTCTTCTTTTTCCTGAATAGATAAGGTGTTTACTTCAGCTGGCAAGCCTCCAAAACAGAAAATACTGCGCAGATGTCAGCCCCTAGGCTTTTGGAAAGATTTTGAGATCTGCACATTCATCTCCTTCTTAAAAAAAAACATCAATAAGTCATGTCTCTGCTATCAGAGAGGAGGTGGTTGCAGAGATGAGTGTTTTGTCCTGATGCTGGTAACTGGGCCACTGTCACCTCTTTCTGGTTATCCTGTACATTGTAGATATGCTGATCATTTAATACAAGCAAAACTAGTTGGTAAAAAAGTCCAGAACCTGAACTAAGGAATGTAGAGGCTAAAGCTCTTTCCATTTCTATAATGGTATGAATTTCAACTTTTCTTCCTCCTGCCACCTCCTACAGAGAGATGTTTGAGKAGAACGTTACATTGTTGACCTAGTGTCAGCTTGCTAAAATCCCATGATTCAGTTCACTGGGCACCATTCCAATGCATTGAACACATTTTGTCCCCCTAAGCATTTAGGGTCATTTCAGTTGTACTTAAATGTGACTAGGCAAGAGTAGAAACAAAAAGACGTCAGCAGCAATGGCTTTACTTTTAAGTAGAAGTTTGATGGGACAGGATAACTTGACTGAAGCTTTTAAGAGCCCAAGTTTTGTCTGAATCCATCTGTGTATGAGACAGAAAATCAGAAGAGTGAAATTTTTGCATTTCAGCTTAGCTGGTAGTTCCTCTCATCCCCTTCAGATTCAAGCATAAYTTGTAAACAGATGTGCAATCTTATTTTCTTACCTTGTCTTGGGTGGGAGGAAGAATCTGATCAGTGGCTCTTGCTCCTACAAGTTCTTCKGAAGTCCTGAAGGAATGTGGTTCTATAAAACGTGCAGCTGGTGTTTGGTTTTGCAGGTGGTTGTTTTTTTCAAGCTGTAGTAGCATTTTTCTTAGAACAGATAGTGATGGGTGAGGATGTACTGCACTGCTTAGGAAGAAAATACGTGACCCACAWCTCTGAATAAACCATTAATACAGACAGGAATAAGTGAATTGATAGGGTCAGTAGATGTGAAGCATCTTGTGTCTGGTCTAGGTGGGATGATGCAGTGATTTTAGACTTGCACACAGTAAAGGAAGACCTGTAACTCAAAGGCCATTACCTGGATACAAGTACATTACACCKCTGCTATCTCACCATTACAGTGATGCTGAGTTATTGTCTAGGAAGTAGTCTGGTACTTCCATAGATACCAAGACCACCATGAAATTTATAAAAATGTATAGTTAACATTTTCCATAAAGTTATATTGGATTTTCCAGYTAAAATTTTTAGTAATCTTTTTCTCTGATAGTGGTTAGCTTTTTTTTTCCCCTGTCCCACTTAAATCTTTTGTTGACCAGCTTTCCAAGAACATGATACAATGCTTTTTCTTTAAAGGAAACTGTGACAATTAAACAACCAGTTTCAGTAGTTCTTTTTGGTGTTCTTCACTAGCAAGAACATAAAATGTAATTATGTAATACATAATGTATTACAAGGTTGCTCATCCATACACTGAAAAWCACCACTGCATTTCAGCAAAGGCTTAGCTCCTGTGCACAAGCTCATAAAAGAAATGCCTTACAGCAGTGCTAGATTTGTTCAGAAACTTAATGATGTCTGCGAGAACACACCAAATGGTGTCAAAACTGAGTGAAGGAATTAGAAAGATGTTTTTTTCTGGACTTATTCCTATTCATCACTGGCACAGGAGAGGTGGTTAGATCTCAAAGCCATCCGTCTCAGACATGCTGGGTTTGTATTTCCATAGTGCCAGTTCGGATTTGGCAAAACGGGGTGGGCGAGTGCTGGGCYAGTGCCCATTGTCACACCCGATGTGCCATGAGGTCATGTGCCTTTGCAGCAGCTGCCCCTCCAGTGCCAGGTGACAGGTCTGAACAGCCACCCTACCCTGGCTMCACAGACTGATGGATTGCTTCCTGTGTTGCAAGAACCTGTCTCACTTTCCCCATCTTACTTTCTTACGATGACTAATGGTCATTGAGATGGCTGAATATTGAAATAAAAATCTAGTTCTTACTTCAATACGATGTTGAGGGGGTTATCGAAACRCATTCCTTTTTTTAATTTCCAGATGGTCTGTTTCAAAACTTGAAGCGAAGTTATGGCAATTATTTCTAAATTCCAAGTTTGGTATAAACTGAAGTTCAAGGAAAATWATGCTGCATTACTAAATTATTTTCAAATATTGAAGAGCTTAAAAAAAAAAAAAAAAAAACCGTTTTGCTCTTTAATGACAGCAGGAATAATCTTGGGAGGAATTCAAGTTGCATAAAGAGACCAGGCTGGTCACATTACTGTGTTACAGGTGAGCTATTATATAGCTTTTATGAGTAAGTGCATATTACCTGACAGCTTTCAGTAGCATTAGAGGTGGAACAAGCCAGACAAAAATTGCAGGCTAACTACATTAAATGTTTTCACAAGGTCAGATCTAAACGTCATTGTGCTATGCAAACTTAAAATGTGCGTCAGTTAGATCTGGTCTTCTTAATTATACTAGCCAACTGTGAAGAACACTTCCTTAGGAAAATAACTGTTTATATTCTTGATAAAATTGAAGYAAATAATTAAACATTATGAAGCTGCTTATTTAGATTATGATTTAAAAGGAGAATTACTTGAGACATCATGAAAATCCTTAGGAACCAGCTATTACCAGTATTAAGGATCAGAATTTAATTAAAATGTGGATTAAMATGATGTTTATGTCTTTGGCACACATAATAAGGAATTACTGTAAAATGTGGGGAAYTTTTTACCAAATTCTATTACATATTGATGAGCCATGTCTGGACCTGCAAAAAATCCTGCGGAGTTTCAGTCATAACTAGGTGTGCCAGGTGCCACTTGGTATACATACAACTGACAATACAGAAGCACTGACTGCAATGCTGGCTTTAGGTTTTCACCCCCATCAAAACAGAGCTGCCTTACTTAARATAAATCTAAATTTTTGACTTAAGACTTCAAACGTAAAGGAACAGATTTGTTTTTCCTTTTTTGGAGATCAACACTAGGCATCAAGGACCAACCCTTGGAAAATACTGCTAGTGCTGTAATCTCATCCCCAGAAGCCACACCCTTCCACAAGATTGAGCACAAGTGATGCTCATGTTTCTTCAGGCATTATTGCTCAAACAGCTACTAATTTCCTTYGGTCTCACTTTCTATGCAAACACCTCCTGCAGGCAGTGTGATGGTTTCTACACCTCACTATTTCAAAGAGTTGCAATCCCTCCCTTGGTTCATTGTCAGCCTTTAAAACTTAATCCTCAGAATCTAGACAAAAGGTCTTTTCCCTAAATTTTCCTTTGTACAAGGCACAAATATTAGAATTTTAATACAGCTCCCTGTAGATTTCAGAATTTGAGGTCAAGCACACTGCTGTAATTACATGTAGGAATTAAGGTTGTAAATTGCTTAAAAAGATAAAACTCTCTGAACAGGCTACTTACAACTGACATGATCCAGAAAGTTCTTCCTTCTAAGAACTACAGATGTTCCTCCAGCTCTATYAGTGTCAGGAACTACATTTTGCCTTATAATCTTTGGGAGAAGGGAGTTGCACCAAGATTCTTCACAATCCACTTTCTTCCCTCTGAAGAGCCAAAAAATACTACACTGTGTGACACATATAAAAGCAGCATTGCCTGCAATCAGCGRCCAACAGGTTACACCATGGGAACCACTTCAGTCAAGTGCAGCTAGTACCTTCCAGCTGGGAAACACACCCAAAAGGATGCTAGCCAGTGAAAACTGAGAATCAACTTTGCAGATTTTTAGAGGAATATGTACTGTCTTGCAAAGGAAATTGTAAATAACCATAACAAAAAAAATATTTGAGGTATTCTTTAGTAAGTTTTTAGTGCAGTGGTACTAAAATATTTCTGTTAACACAGGGAAAGTGAGAGTAGTCAGCTTGTGAGGCTAGAATTTTATTGTTCATAGGTCAATACATAAACATAGCATATTTACCAGAAACTCAAAATCGGAGCTGTTGACATTAGGTCAAAATTTACTTGGCCCAAGAACTCACCTTTCATTCCAACATAAGCAATGGAGTTTGTAAAGTATAAATTTCTTACTGTTAATCAATTTCAATGTGAGGGAACATTTCTTTTAAACCACATTTAACATGCCAATTTGGAGTAAAGTTGAACAGTTTAAAGCACACAATTTATCATCCTGGGGTTTACAGCATGCCATCCTCAATTCCCAGTTTATGTGCCAATTGTACAAGCTTCCAAGAGATGAGCACTAGGAGCCTTTCCGAAGGACAGGCCTTTATCTGCGTTGCAGAAATCTAGCCACCAGAAGAAAGACACAGCTATATTGACATCCAACAATTTTATAAATCTAGTATCAAAATAACCTAGCTATTATAGCCAGTCAACATTAAAGCAAGGGATTCTCGTGTACTCCAGAGACTGAAGTTCATGCGGGATAAGGGCTGCATAGTTTCCACATCTTGTCTCCTTTACACTTTTTGGTCACCTAAGCCATCAAATCCAATGCATTTCTGACAACTACTTAAACCTTTCTGAAATTTCTGCCCAGGTCAAAGTCATTATTGCATTTAGTGGCATATTCAATTCATTCAGTTCTTCTGAAGATGTCACTGAAATAAAATTTACGAAACTTAACTGAAAACTGATGCATCTAAGCAGCATTTCATGAAGTGGCTTGTGCTCCTACCTGCCTATGGGATACCAGTTCAAAAATTACTTTCTTTACTACGCAACAACAGTAAAAAAAAGGGAAAGTAAGAGTTGAACTGCCAAACCCATTAAAAACAGGTAGGACTATTTTATTCATATATTAAAAATAATTTACCAAAATAATGTACAATTAGAAGCAGTTCAGACTATTTTAAACATAGAGCTGGAAAGTGTCTGAAGAAAAACTAAGACTGAATCACATTGCACTGAACCAATATGCTGAAATGCTTTAAAATTCTCACTTGGAGCATTACTGCTTTAACCATGACTGTTTATTTAATATGTGCACYAGATAGGCAGTCAGTTGCAAAGATGAGTCTCTGTTCACTTTTTCCTGCCACCTCCACCACCTGCAAGCATGGAGGCCACCCGAATGAAGATATTCAGTGTATCAGTGTAGATACCCAGGCATCTAGGGAACAAGAAATCACAGTTAGTATTGTTAAACAGACACAGTATTGTCTGGTGTCTCACACATTCTACTTCATTTTAAGAGCCTGCATGAACCATCTGTACCAAAACCCAGCTATGACTGTCCTCAGTGCTTTGTATGTGAAAGAACATCTGTATTTTGTTCGCCCACCTCTACCAGAAAGAACTATTTACAGAAGTCCTAACTGACAGTACACTACTCTSATATAGGAGTCTCTGCTTTCATATCATACTTTGATCTCTTTATCTCCAAGAATTTTGAAGGAGGTCAGTATTACTCTAATTATTATAAAACAGAACCAAGGAGGTAAGAATTTACCTAGATCAGACATTTACAAAAAACTTACTTTTTAGTGAGATTTGGTCTTCACTGAGAGTCAATCCTTCCTTCCCTATCACACCACTGCAGCTTTCTTATTTAGTGACAAAGACTAATAAATATTAAATGACTATGGAAAAATTAACATTTTTTGTCTCAACCAATAATGACAGTTATTTCCAGAAAGCAGCTATAAATTCTGCCAGCAATGCTTCAGAAAACAAAAATACATTTTACAATCTACTGCTGGAGGCATGTGACACCACATATTCCATTCTATTTCTCAAAATTATCTTACTTTTAACTTCAGTTCCTATTTTCTCATTGCTTTCAAACCCTATGATTCTTCACATCTAACAGCAATACACTTTTGAACAATAAGCAAAAGGCTATTTTTAAAGCATACCTCAATCTAACTCCAGGCMAATTCCTTCCCAGACACTGAGATCAGATGTGGTAACACAGAACACTTACGCATTGATGGGGTCGTATTTTGTCACTCCATAGAAGGGCAGAGTTTCTGCCCGTTTGATCACCAGCTGAGTATCATAGAGCAGGAACATGCTAAAGAGCACCAGGCCACCATAGACTGCCACCGAGTACAGGCCAGCGCCAAAAGCAGAGGTGGGAGGCAAGAACATGGATCCTGGAMAGGAATATGCAACAGTGTTGATTAAAGGTAACACTGTATCTGCTACTTTGAGTTAGGTCAAACTTAGCTGCTGGAACACACACTTTTCAGGAAGCATTCACTTCTCAGTTTGTGGTGTGTTTTTGATACCAAGAGCTTTAACATGCACACTGAAAATGGCACATACATAATCTGATACAGTAATTTTGAACACCCYAAGGAACTGTGTATTTTTCTTCAGGTGAAGGTACTTCTTTCCCTTGTGACTACAACAATGCCTCAAAACACAYGGAGGAAAAAAAGTGGATCAAGAACTAAGATCACATTTACTGCCTTCCTTACTCACTAATAATACAGGGCAGCAATGTCAGTTGTTTGCCAGACTAACATCTGCCAGAACCATAAATTCACATTTGTTTCCAGCAACAAACATGACAGAATATTATCTGCGGCACGGGAGTTCCAAGGGCCATATTTAAGGCCAATCTTAACCACTCAGACAAGCCTGCAACTAACTCCGACCTGCAACTTAGTAGCTTAAATTTATAACCTAGTTTATATGACAGCAAAGAAACAGTATCTTACCGATTGAAGAAGCAATAACAAAACCTAAGCCWATGCCAAGGGGTGCTCCCATGTTCAGAAATTTTTCACTGGGAGCACACATGGCCACAGTTGAGAGTCCCCCGACGATTCCAGCAGTGTACCAGGCAGCTCTGATCAGCAGAGGACCACCAAGGAAGGCTAGAGGAGCCACCACTGCACCCATGACACCTAGGCAAAGGAAAACAGAACACATGTAAGACTTGGCACACCGCATGTCAAAGCCACTTGATATTTTCATCTCCAGTCAGATGACATGGCTTAAACTAATCCACACATGCCAAATACCAATGCACTTGATTGTCCTCTTATCTAGAGGGGAGCACAATAAATTAGCAACCTTAAATTCCATTATATACTTTTATCTAGCGCTAGAGTACTTCAAGGAGCTGATCTTGGGAAAAAAGACTAATGAAAGTAAACATACTGATTATTGGTTCAAAACAGAGCTGGCAAGAAGAGATACTCAGCAGGGACTGATCAACTACATAATAGCATTAGGTGCAAGCAACACTGAAATTCCTAATACAACAATTAGTTAGGCAAGTAAGTCAGATTTTTTGCTACAGTCCTATAGGAAATGTCTATCTAGTTCTTTAATATCATATTAGGTCGTTTCACTTAATAATAATCACTACAATAAACACAATTCCTTCTTGGCAGACATGTTAGCTCTGGAGTGGTAAATATGATTCCAGTGCTCAATTCCGCATGTCTTTTCTGAACTATAAAATACTCCTGGCAAAACAGTTTTCACAAAACCAAAGCAGCTATGAAACCATCTAGGTTGCATACAATGTGGAGTAAACAGACCTCAAGTTTAACTTGACCATGACTTTTAGATGATTATGAAAAACACTGTAGTTCTGTTAAGGACACGTAAGACATCCTTCCCTGAGTTCTCACTGATATCTGAAAAAAACTCTCCCACAGCAATATATAAAAATTTACTTTAAAGYGCAAGTTTTGTTAAGAGTCTGGTCACACTGAAGCACAGACATCTCTACAACAAACACTAAAAATCACATACCTGAATGTATCATCCATGCTGCATGTTTAGCTATTGGGCTGTTTTCATAGGATATGGACCTGACCAACAGTCCAGCACCAATCATAGCTGCAAAAGTTGCACCAATTGCCTGAAGAAACAGCATTACACAGCTCAAATTAGCATATGGACTTATGCTCTCTGTTCTAATCTCCTAGTCTAAAAGKCAACACTGTAAATCTGAAAACAGCAATCTAATTCACAATTGGAATGTTCATTGATTTTACTCCTGTAAGGTTGCAGTCAAATCTTTATATATCTCAGCTTACACTAATTTTATTTTTACTCAGTTTTCTAGAAATCCAGATTTAACAGTTAACTTGGCAACAATCTCTTGGCTGCTTAAATTAAGAGAAGGAAAACCCATGGTACTGCCCCTCATTCGCATTAAAGTATCTAAAAGATGTTAGCCTTCCTTCTTTTTGTGTACCTTTCTCCACCCAAAGCCAACACAAATTTTACAGGCTTTTGCTACCAATGGTTTTTTAACCTCACTGCCTCTTCTTAGGGATGATTCTGAGCAGAATCATCCAGCAGCCACTGCATTGGTCAGAAGTGTGTAACTGTTATCACCAGTGATTAATTTTATAAAATTAATGTCCTTAAGTTCTGTAGGTGTTGGCATTTAACTGTTATTGTTTCATCCCACTTAACACACTAAATAGTGCTAAGCCTACCACTGCTGTTTCACCCTTGGCAAACAGGAGACAGCTTTCAAAGAGCTACACAGGAGAGCACAGGGAGSAGTAAGAATACATAGGGATCTCAGTTTCTATTCACAGACAGCAACAGAAACTGCTAGCTTTAGGTAGCGATTTGTAAGAGGTTCTTACATGCATATATACAACTGGTAAGGATAGCATGATGTTTTTTGCTCATGCAGTTTGTCTTTGACAAACCATCAAAGCTGCACAGAAAAGACATCTTTGAAAGTGATTAGAATCACCAAATCTTACATCAGAAAGATTCATTAAGATACCCAAATATCATGGATCAGGACACTAATGTAAGGTCAAGTTTTGCCTTACTTTCCACCAAGCAGTTTACACTTCTTATTTTTTTTATATCAACCATTACATTTGGGGGCATTTCTCAATAAATACTTTTATTTTTATAACAAAGCTTACCAGCCAGGAGCCCTTTGTCATAAGGTTCATAAGTGCTGGAGATTTGCTCACTACTGCAGCAGACAGAGCAGTCATGCCAATGCTGCCCGCAAAGTACATGTACGTAGACTGAATTCTGTCCTTCACATACTGTGGCCAAATACTGAAAAAGAAGGAGTCACACAGAGTTATGCAGTTACCTGGTTCAAAATGGAGAGCAGCCAAAAACACAATCAAGCTGTTCAATGCACTCATAGCTATGAATATAAGGGAGGTTTCATAATAGTGATGTGGTCTAGCAACTTCTGCCATGAGTTTATTTTACAGTGTGGACTCAACTTGTCAATCTTGCTGGTTTAATTAATGTCAACTCAGTAGAAAAACTGAAAACTACAAATAATGCTAACTATAATTCAAGTCTAATGAGGAAGCATGCATGGAAAACAGAATAAAGAATGCTTTTAACTACAGAAAAAAATAAGAGAATGGTGTGTATAGATCACAAACTGATTTCAGGAAAAAGGTCTGCATAATGTGTACTGGGCACTAAATAGCCTGCTGAGCAGCTCACAAACTGCTGAGTCACAGTGAGCATGATTATCTGACACTGCAGGACACAAACGTCATTTTGAGAGCTCTAACAATAGCAACAGACCTAGACGTAAATGAGTTTCTGCAGTATCTTTTGCTCACACTCCTGTTAACACTAAATTCACTCTTTTGACCAATTATTTCAAGGCTCGTGGAGAAAAGAACAGGACGTAGCTCTATATATGACAAGCTTCTCATTGACACAACTAGCACACATTCAGTATAAAAGCAGACAGCCACTTCCAAATACAAAGAACAACAAGATGTCTCCAATACACATTTCTTCCAAGCCCATGCTTATTACTACCCACCTTTTAAGTCTAACTATACAGTTTTGCCATCAGCCAGGGTTTGTTTGAGCAAAAAGCAACTCACTAAAGTTTTAAGAAGAACACATTTCTCAGATCAAAACTTAAACCAAGATACTGTGTTTAATGGATACTGTTTTTCAACAGTTGTAATAAAGTTTAATGAACAGTCTCATAGGAACTATATAACACCAGGCAAAGTGGCCTTAGCAATGCTTTTCAGAAGGTCACACTTCCTAAGTTTTCTGGAGCACACCTCGTAAGACAAGTTTACATACTCTTCACATTAGATTTAGCAAGACAAACTCACTTAGGTTACTATGCATTCAAGGCTGAATAATTCTAATTTTGCTTTAAAAACTTGCACAGACACAGGTGGGGGTTTTCTCTTCAGAGCTCAGAAAAGGTTACAATGAGTGTACACTGGATGATAACAGCTAAAGAAGAGCTGGATAAAGAGGAGGAGATTTGCTTCATTAAAAAGTAAGGCCTCTTACTTACGCAGCCCTTTCAATAGCTCCAGTCTCACTAGACATGCCCATTCCATAGTAACACAGGGCTCCCAGGCCAACAGCAGCCCCTCCCGCAGCAACAAACTTCCCCAGGCGATCAGCTGTATAAAGAAATAAAAAATACACACTCATTAATGCTTTTTCTTGGACAGTTAACAACATCCTCATGTGAATTTTGGTCTATCGGCAATAGCTGATTTATGTCAGTCTTTCTTCTTAAAGACTGACATAATTGCAAGTCAGTTCATTACCAGTTTCAACGGTTCAACGGAAAAGAAAACTTATTCCTTTGTGGAAGTTTTAAGTTAGGGTTCAAAGAATCTCAGTATTTAAAGCAGAACTACTCTACCTTTAAGTGCAGCTTCTGCAGATGGCTCAAATGCTGCATCTTTCATTTCCTGGCCAAATTTTCCACGCCTTGAACCCGTTCTTACTCTGGTGGAATAACTCTGTTAAATTCAGAAATAACAAAAGAAAAATTTGATGAAATAAAGTAGAATATATTATCAACTTACTTGCTACACTTAAAATTGTTACATATCTCTTATTCTCTGCTTAGCCCCAAACATATGAAGCAACTGTGCTCAAGGAAAACAAGTGAACATTTAATMTTAGGAACCTTTGTGAAAAACGTTTCACATATTCTTGAAGTACAGAACCAATGCAGTGAATTCCAGAAGCTGAAATATTCAAACTGCATTTCTTCAACGCTAGAGCCAATGTACTAAACACTGCCACAAGCCTTTTTGTTAAATATAAAAATGTAATCTTTACTTTTTAATTTTTCAAAAAACTACTTGGCTTTCCACATTAAAACACTCTTCATGCAAACACTCCAAATTAAAAAACATTCTTGCACAATACTTACATTTTACAGACACTAAAGCTGGAAAAGCAGCACTAATGTTTTGCTTTCAAGTCTAATCTAGATGTATAGAAAAAACCTTGAAAYGAAGGCCTAGAAACTCAAGGTTTTAAGGCTGACAAGCTCTAAGTAATTATAGTATGCTGCTCAAAGTCTTAGTAAGTTGTAAGAGCAACACAGAACAAGTTCATACTTAAGTTAAAAAACAACTTTTAATTTTTCTGACCATTTTTAGCAGGAATTTTTAAACTAAAATTGCATCTGAGCAACTAAGGACTCACAATAAGCTGTGAGTTTAACACTAAAATATAAAATCTACAAGCATTGCTCTCATCAGCCATTGGCAAACTACARTTCAGGAGGTTCACCAGAGCCCTTCAGTTTAGTTGCGTTTAGCAGCTAATGGAATCCAGCCCAATGCTAGAAAGCCCCCACTCACAAAAATCCCACAATGCACCTACAAACTTATGAGTGCTTAAGAGGAAAACACAAAGGAGGTGAAGATTTTGCCACTGCTGCTTTCATCAAGATGACAGAAGAGTAACAATAGTCCCTAATAGTTGTGAATTGCATGTCTGCCACATCTTCTCTCAGTGAAGAATAAAAGTGTCTTGGCATAAGGACAGCCTGTTTTTTAAAAATGCTGGTTAGACCTRAGATTGTCTTGCCATAAATCAGAAATTGCTCTAATCTAGGCTACAGCTCTAAGCATATGTTGGGACTAAATTAATTGAAAAGAAAGTATTTTAATGTTGTATTTAAGACTCTGCCTTGAGAACAGAGAATCAGGGCAAAAATTTCTGTTCCTCCTACTTAGTAAGGCCTGTCCATCTCTAACTACCTCTTTTAAGCTCTTTTTCCCCTTAATTTCAAGACACAAGTCAGTCCTTGGAACAGAAGATCTCACTTCAATTGCTCTAAAACCCCTGTGTTTTGACTGAGCACTATTCTTCCTTCAGTAAATTAGCGCAGGTACCTCGCACAGGCAGAAGGCTTATGCTCATTCACAGCAGATACTCCATGCAAATTCGTTCAGCAACACACTTAACTCTTCAAAGTACGTTCAGACAGGGCAGAAAGAACTTTTTTGTCAGAAAGAGAATTACCTTACCTGGCTAGGCTGCCACAGCCTGTATGCTTTTATATTGGAGCTCCTCAAGGCTGGGGGAGCCTGAGCAATGGTGGGGCGGATAGCCTGGCATGGCAGTGCCCTCAGGCACACCAGCCTGGCAGCCAGCATGGTTGCTGAGATAATTTAATAAACTCTGTTCCTGCAAACGCACAAAAAAAAAACATATTTTACCATTTACATGATTTTTCAGACAAGGTACATTTACTACTTATTCCCAACTGCAAAAAAAGTAGTAAAAAAAAAAAAGAAACCCAAAACACCGAACAAAAGAAAGCCTGTAGTAAAAAACATATTATCACTAAAGTATTGTAACAGCAGATATAACTTACTTAAATACACGGTTTAACTCCACTTTACCTGTATTTGTCTGCCAGCTCTGTCAGAGACTGCTCTCTCACAATTCACTCAAAACTAGGAGAACATACCATTTTTTCATACATATAAATTACTTCAAGGCCCTTTATACACTTACATTTGAGTTACTTTGGCAACTAACTTTTGTTTTGAGACATAACACTGCATTACTGCTCTGCTCTCCAAATTTACTTAAAACTCCACTTAAGTAGGAAGCCAAACGAGCAAACAGCACAATATATGTGGTGGAAAATACTTGGAGAGAAATTTTAAGCCTMTTTTAAAGAACTGGTTAGCTTTATGGGCCCAGCATTCAGTCAAGGTCACAGATCATCCTGAGCAATTCTGAGCAGAAAACAGTGATATTACTCATGGGTAAATCGACAGCACCAGCAGAACCAGCCTGTGTGTTCCACTGSCAGCATGTAAAAACTGCCAGTTCACTGCCACAAATGGTGCACATTATAGAAAAAAAAAGCCCCAAGGCCTTGGAAGTACGTGTACCTGAATTACAATCGCACACAATTTCTGATACCATGGAACACCCCAACTATCAGGGTTTTTTTTTTAAAAACTACCGGTCACATCTTAGCTGTGCTAAGAGTGTTCTAAAGAAAGGCAGCTTTAAACACAGGCGAGAAACAAGCACGCAGAGCACTGGACAGCTCGCATTAACCACAGAGGAGTGACAGAGAACATAATCCTCCTTCTAGGAAATCACTTAGCTCTGCAGCGCAGTTACGAAAATCTTGCTTTTGAAACTGGAAGTACCTTACGAGGCACATCCTAACTGCGCCACTTAACGCAGCACTTCCACGGGGATGACACGGTCTGCAAGAAGTTACAAGGCCAACTCAGTGGTTTTAACTTTTCTTTTTCAAAACTGGTACTTAGAGCAACATAAATTCAAGCAAGGACGAGAGAGAGGCGAGAGCTAAAAACAGAACAACATTCCCACATGTTAACCGGCAACAGCGTAACGCAGCGCTGCGGAATCACTGCCGTACCACAGCACGCAGAAACCCCTCCCAGCCCACGGAGGGCGGTGGCCGGTGCCCGCCTCAGCCTGGGCCRGGCCCTCCCCCGCTTTCGGTCCACACTCGGCCCCTTCCCCGGCCCCATCTCTGCCCTGCCCCGGCCCCACGTCTGCCGTCTGCCGCACCTGCCCCGGCCCCGCGCGGTCCCCGCCACCTCCTTCACGCTCGGCCCCTCACGCTCGGCCCGGCCCCGGCAGCGGAAGTGACGCCAGGTCACCCCGCGCTCTCCCCGCGATTGGCCCGTTCTCGTCACGTGACCSGGGTGTCCGCGGGCGCCATTGGCCGGCGGGGCGGGGCGCGGCGCCATCTTGGGGAGGGCGGAGAAGGTTCTGGAAGGGCGCGGGGGGCGGGCCGGTAGGGGGCGCGCGCGGGGCGGGCCCGGAGCTGARGGTGCGGCCCCTCAGGCACCGCTGGGTTWGTGCGASAGGAATATAGCAAARTAACCGTGCCWTMGGRTAGAKCARYGTCCTCGGAGTGTAATGTTAAAGTSCCAGTCTTATGGCTACTCGCTGTCTGTGAATTTAAAGCTCAGGACCTTTGCATTTSCTTCCCTTACAACACAGCACTCTAGAAGTGGGAGGTAAATCTCTCCCTCTGTTAGCCTCTCTTCTGTGTGGATATAGCACATGGTCTAAGGCTGGCACTCACATGCCAGATGAACACAAAATGCAGGGCTGTGTACGTAAATGACAGAAATGGATGATGCCAGCTGAAATCCCAGCCTTGCAGGGACACTCCACAGCCCTGCCAGGGGCTAAACGTTCCGCTTTGGGCTAAACTGTTTCTCTGCTGGCAGGTTCCTTCCAGCCTCAATCCAAATAGAGCTCAGATTTTTTCTAAGTTTAACCCTAATCCTAAACTGAGCCTTATGAAAGACAGAGCAGCACTTCCCTAGCCTGCCAATTCCTCAGGGAAATTTTGAATTGGTAGCCCCTTTCCAGCTCCACTCCAGCCACAGCTCTGTAGTTTCTTTCAACCTTAATGCTACATAYGGCCATGGTTCTTCGCTGCCAAGTAAAACAGACTGTGAGAATTGAGCAGGATCAAAGACAAATACAATAAAAAAGATGTGTTGAATTTAGAATTAAGTCCAGAAATAGAACGAGACTTACAGATAGGCTTTTGAGAATTGGAAGATTAGCCTTTCTGTATCTCGGAGCCTCCTTGTTTAATGGTCAGAAAGGAAATACAACGACCTGCTAGTTCAYAAAATGAAAGTTAAGATAAGAGAGATCAGATATGGAAGAGGTCTGAAAGTGCACCAGCATATAAGATCACAAAGAAGAATTTGAATGTAGAAGAATGAARCAGAAGAATACATGACAGAAGGGTAGAAATTCCATCAGAGGAGGCTAGGTCTACTGGGATTTGAGATCTGATTCTTACTTTGACACTTGCTTGCTTTCTGTTGGAGTAAGTGAAAATCCAGAGTTTTGGTGTCTATTGCACCAAGGTTTCTTACAATACAAGAAAAAAAAAAAAAGTCAGTTTTGGGCCATGAATATGTTGTTTATTTAGAGATTTGTAGTGCTTATTTCAGAGTTTGTAACACTCTGTAATTGTTAGGTACTAAAGGATTCATTATAATAATTAATATTTAAATTTATAATTAAGTTATTAATAGTAATAATTTATGCAAGGAATCMAACTTATCTCTTTTACTACAGCATATAATTATGTAAAGAACTCTCCTGAGACTTTCAAATAAGATACTTATCTCAGCTTTTCCCCAAACTGTTTCTTAAATAGGTAATTTTGTCAGAAGCAACCCCAATCTACCTGAACTGAAATACAATTTTTAAAAAGTAAGAATTTTTTTGTGTTTTGTTTTCTTTTTTTACTGTAAGAGTGGTTGAGCAGTAGAGCAGGTTGGTCAGAGCATTGTGGTGTCTTTCTTTGGAGACTTTCAAAAGCTGACTGGACATAGTCAGGAACGCAGGAAGCTTAGCCTAAACGATTTCCAGAGGTCCCTGYCAACCTCAGCTATTCTGTGAGTCTGTGAAGTATTGATGATTCCTAAAAGATCTGAAGTGCTTTTGGTTTTTTGAGACTGATATGCCCCAATAAGAGGTGCTTGGAAAACAGTTTGTAAAAAAAAATTATTTTCAGAGCAGCAAAAATAATAATAATAATAGAAAAGAAAGATTGCATGAAGATACTGTTTTTTGAAAATAGATGAACAATTCCTCAGTAATCCAAAGTGTAAACAGGAAAATTTATACTGACAAAATATTTTTTTACAATCTTTTTTTCAATAAGACCACGTTTCCAGCATGTTTTGCATGTGTTGGAAATCTTACATTTCTCTAGACAAGATCAAATACAATTTGATATTAGAGAGTTAAAATCTAATAAGAAATTCTGCAAGATCAGAAAATGCCGTTGTGAAGGGGTTTGAGTATCCTGAAGGGAATTTCAAACTCCAAGCCCTGCCTCTCTTCCAGGTGAGGAACAGCTCCTCCTCCCCTGCTTCCCAGCCCTGCCAGTTCCCAGCAGTGACATTCCCATAAATGGCTGATGCCAGGGCTTCAGGGATGGTGCTCTCCAGCTGCCCTGCCCAAAGGGAAAGCTGAACAGACTGCCTGACTCCAAAGGAGACTCGTCCAAGCTCTGCTCCCCACGTCCTGTATGAGAAACATCATGTATTTTCAAAAATAAAGTCAGCCTGTTCTTAGAGATAGATAGCTTTGAAGGGATTTTGTTTCCTTGCCCTAAAAATGAGGATCATGAGCAATGCAGTCATYTTCCAGGAGACACCTCGGGGTGTATTTTCAACCATGCACCCTGCCTTGACAGCCACCTTCATTKGGAAGTCAGCAAAACCACACTTCCCTATAGCCCTCTGCAATCCTGGAAAGCCACGGGAGCCACCACAAGCCCCTTATTATGCTATTAAATAGGGTCAATGTCAATTTTGAAGCTTAAGCTTTTAACTCAGCAGCTCTGGCACCCCCCTGCAAGAAAAAAACATCTCACGTTGTTCATACRGCTCTGTTCATCAGCAGGAAATAAATAAATCTGTGCTTAGCACCATTTCTCCTCAGGGTAAACTTTGCCATTGAAGTTTTCAAATTAGAGCAGAAGAAAAATATTTTGAAGGTTTTCTGACTGTGCTGACTCCAGCACTCCACATATCTCTCCCAGCAGAATAGAGGGGACTTTTGGACTTAAGCTGTTGCTGGTATTCATGTGACAAATGCATATTCATTAAGYAACATGTTCTTACTCTAGATTAGGTATCATTAAACACTGCAATGTGGAGGAAATTTGGGGAGACTGTACTGGTGACTTTCTTAAAGCCTGGCAAGAAAAGAATGCCATTAAATAAAGTATTACTTTACCATGGAAGAATAACTCCTTCCATGCAGGAATTTGGGCAGCAAGGGCAGGCTGGGATGTGCCAGAAGTGAAGCAGTGTCCATATTTTCTACAGGTGTGGTCATTTTCAGGGTTTTGGACTGTTTGGCCAAAACTCAGAACATTTCAAATAGACAGTAGCTTCATTTCAGTGGTACTGAACTCTGCTGACTCTGAGGTGTCTTCCCTCCTTTCTGTCATGAAGTTTGCACCTGGTAGTTTTAAAAAGCATTGCACTGAAATTTGATAATGCTAAACTTCAGGAACTACTAAAATAAACTTCCAAAATCAGAAGCTTGATATCAAGACCTATCTTGTCCATCAATGATATATTTTGTGTCTCATTTCAAAAATGGGGCCTAGAGTATTCATTCCTATTCTCAATTTTAGCTTAGGTTAAAATACATGATGGTAAACAAACTTAGATGCCAATCAGCAGTTCAGTAAATAGCTTAAGCTTGTGAGTAACTATGTGAGTAACACCCTCATATATTAAACTTAGAGTAGATGCTCAAAACTTGTTTCTTTAGTTACTYGGGAGAAGAGCTTGTGTTTCTCAAGTGCTCAGAGATAAATGAAAATGAGTGCTTTGGTGAACAAGGACCTGACATTGTTTGGTTATAAATGAATAGATAAGATAGAACATTTTGTTCACTCAAGATTCTATTTGAATAAATAGTACATAAAAGGACATTTCTTTTTCTTGAACCCTGTTTTACAGGCTATAGCATTAACTATTTATTTACATCAGATGACAAAAAAGCTAAAAGAATTTAAAAATATTTTTCAATGAAAAGATGAAATCTACATTTACAGCCTGACACCTCTCAACCTCCAAGAAATTGCTATTCATTTTGTTTAAATAAAATAAATACTCATTTTCCTAAATGCCTGTGAACTCTATGCTGCAGCAAAAAAAGACACWGAGCTTTTTCTGAAATTGCTGTTTATGCTTTTTAATTGCTTTTAACACGCAGAGCACTGTTCTTCTGCAACTTCTTGAAAAAAAAACCCCTATTTGAAATTCAGTAAGCTTTGATTTAAAGAGATTGGTTTCCACCTGGATGAAGTGAAACTTTCTTCTTGCAAAGTTTATTAGTACATTGAAAGATGCAAATTAATTCATAATTCTTACAGCTCATTCTCTTGGGAACAATTATACAAGGAAATTATTAATGTACAAGAAAACAACAGTTAAAAATCTCAAAGGGCAATAGAGGTGTGGAATATATGAAAGCATTCAGACCTAGCTAATAGTTATAATAACAGTTCATAAACCAATTTTAATTTTTCTTTATTTGTAAACTGATAGCAGCCACGTGGTGCAGACAAGAAATGAAAGGCTGGCTAAAGGGGTTTGCAGTCAAAGGCGCTGTTCTCAATGAAGTGCTGAGCAAACACAGTGTGAAGAGTTGAATATGTGCTAGCAGGGCTTGTAAGGATCCCAGCCAAAGGTGAGGCTGCCCTGAGCTCACCTCTGCCCATGTCCCTGCMTACACCATCCCATGGGGATGGCAGCCCTGGCTGTCATTGCAGTGTAAGCCTTGGCACTCTGGTAAACAAACCCCATACTTTCCATTTGGATAAAGGAAACCCCCCGGATCTAAGCAACATTTGATGAAAAAAGAGCAAACAAACTTGCTTTTTAGTCTTCTTTGACCTACCTATTTTTTCTACTTTTATTTAAGGTGTTAATTCAGCTACTTTCCAGTTTTCTTTCCATAATTGAACCAGCATGCTTTTAATATTACATATCTGATGAAAATTTCAAATGTTTTTACAATCAGAGTCATAACAGCATCTTATCACCAGGATAGCTGTAATGACTCTGGGCTATCTGCTTGCAGTGCTCCCTG